GTCATTTCTTTTCTTTTGGGTGAGGTATTAGGGGTCAACCCCAGGGCTCAAACTCTGAGCTAAGCTAACATTCTCAGTACTTTGTATTTTGGGACAGGGTCTAGATAAATTGCCGAGGCAGGATTTAAACTTGGGATCCTCAAGCCTTAGCCTCCCTCAGTTCTGGGATTACAAGTATGTGTCACAGTGCCTGATTTTTCATTAATTTAAAATGGTACTTGTATTAACTATATATTATAAGTTAATTATATAAATATAACTAAATATATTATTATTTATATATTATTATTCAGATTCACTAATCAAAACAATTATAGTATACTTACTATCCTCTTTAGGGCATATTCCTTTTTATTTTTTGTTTTATTTTTGGTTCTACAGACCTAATCCAGGGCAAGTGTTTTACTACTGAACTATATCCTCAGACCTCCTATATTTCAATTATTCCTGATTACTGACAATTAGGACCAAAATACAAGTAAATGTTCTCATTCTGTGATTTCTAGAGAACAGGTAGGAACTTCTCTGAGGTCTATATGAAGCAGGGCAGCCGCAGGGGGCAGGGTAAGAGCCTCCTCAATGCTGCTGCACAAGGTGGCTGTACCTATCTGTGCCAACTTAAAATTAAAATGACTTCATTTCTTCCAGTCTAGTAGAAGTGAACTGTGCAGAATTGTGGCTTATTTTACTTTCCTTAACACATAAGGATAAATATCTTTTGTTAAAGTTTATAGGTAAATGGACTTTCATTCTTATGGATTGTTCATTTCTTTACTAACCTTTACTTTTCTTCCTCCATTACTGATTTGCTTTTTCATCCTGTTTACTAGTGGATCCTAAGATTATGTCATTTTATAGGCATTCGTAACATTCTTTAAGGCTGTGGCTTTATCTTTTTATATCAAAAGATACTGTAAACCAATGGTACATTTTTCCCCCCAATGGCACATTTTAACATTTGAAATTAATACTTTTTTCTTTGGCAGACTGTTAATTTTGTACCTTGCTGAAGAAATCTTTGTCTACTCAAAGGCTTGTAAGAGTATCCAGAAGGTCTGGGGAGATGGCTCAGTGGAATAAGCGCTTCCCTGGCAAGTGCAAGGGCCTGAGTTCAATCCCTAGTTCTGCCAAAAAAAAAAAAAAAAGAGAGTATCCAGAGTTTTCTTTTCTTTCTTTTTTTTTGCTCCGAATGCTCTCAGGGGTGGTTCGGCTGGCCGGGGTGTTGTGGGGATCGAACTACAGCAACCTGAGGCTGACAGCTTTGTGGAAGCAGCCACATAAAGAACTGAGCTAAGGCCAGGCCCCCTCTCAAAGAGTTTTCTTTTCAAAAGTTTAGTTTTTCACATTTAGATTATAACCATGATTATTCATGTTTGTATTTGGCTTCTACTAGAAAGCTCTGACTTTATCCCACTGCTACCATTTTACTTTAGGCTTCTAGTAAATGAAAGGAAATCAGTTACGAGGTTAGATCTCAAGACGGTGATCACCACTAAAGAAGAGTAGAGTGCAGCTGTACCTACTGACCGAGGCGGAAGGGACGTTCATGTCAGGACCTGTACACTTACATGTTCGTGTGCACAAGCCACAGTGGTGTGCTGAGCTATTAAACTATCAAATTCAATAACTTAAAATCAGCCCTGAGCAGAGTCCTTAAAAATTTGGCAAGTGCAAAAAATGACGACTTTTTCTTTTTCCAGATAGCAGGTATGTCATACTTTTAAAAAAGTAAAATATGTTCTCTTTAATGTGTAACCTTCAGGAACTTATGTTCAAGAAATAAAAGCTACCAAATGTAAGGATAAATAGACATTTACTGCAATAATTTTGGCTGCAAAACAAAACTAAATCTACAAAAGACAGTGGGGGGTTTGAATAAACATGGTTCATGCATATTATGAAATATCTGACAAGTGAAAAAAGTATGAGTCAAATGTATCTGTAATAGCCTAAAGGGAATGCCCAGTACACTGTTAGAAAAAGTAAACTGAAAAAATATTTATGCGCTATAATGCAATTCAAGCAAAACTAAAAATATCTCTTTGTATGTGTATATTTATGTTTTCAAGTAATTTTATGCATACAGAGAATATTATAGACGGTAAAGCCATTCATACAGATAGTCGTATAGGGAAAGTGCAATCAGCTAGTGCTGTAACTGAAGAATCCTAACATCTGCTATGCCATCTTTATATCTCTACACTGATTTATTCAAGTAGGTTATTTTATAATCTAAAATAATCAAACACATTTTTAAAATCTCATAAGTGTTATCTATAATCTTTTCCTATTCCAATCTAGTTTTTCTTTTCCTAGACCTTTTTAAAGGTCATTTTCATCAGCAGCACTCCTTTGTTAAAATACATGAAAAGCTATTTACTCCTACAGGATAAAGTAAAAAGTAAGGAAGAAGCAGTGTCTCTGTTACCTTTCTCTTGTTGCCTGGACAAAATACCCAACATCCTCAACTAAGGAAGGAAAGGTTTATGCAGCTCCCAGTTAGTGGAGGTTTCAGTCCATACTTGGCTGGCTCTGAGACATGGTGGCACAGGGCAGAGGGCAGCCACTCATGGTGATGGAAAACAGCAAAGGGAGGAGCTAAGGAAGGAGCAGCAGCTGTGGCTGCACAGTGAGCAAGACTCTTTCCCCTCCTTACATTTGTATGCAGAGTACCTGCTCCAGGGCAAGTGTAGCACTCAGCCATAATCCCTGCACTGTATCATGAATTAATCACAAACTCTAGAAGCCGCCACAATGACTGCATGAGGCTTGGAGGGGATACCTAGACACAAACCGAAACAGGAACTAAAGTGTTAATTAGAGGATATAGGTTGTAGTCCTCATTTTAATTAGTGAGTAGAAAAAGTGATGGTTGCCACTATGAAAAATAAGGGTCATGAGACAGAGAATCATTTTGCTTTTACAAAACCATGGTATCTGATGAAGCAGTATGATAAGTGACTACATTAATCCCAGATTTGGATTCTGGCACTGCCACTTAGTTATGTGTACTAAACAGATTATCCTGTCTCAGTTTCTGAGTCAATGAAATGGAAGCAATGAAAACCAACCTCCCAGGGTTCTAAAAACCATTAATACTATTACATGTAAAATGCTTAATCATATTGCAACCTTACAGGTGCTAGAAAAATCGATTTTATTATCATAATCATACTCATTTTTTGGTTTCATTTTATTTTTTGGGTACCAGGAATCTAAGTCAGGGTCTTGGGCTTGCCAGGCACACTCTGTGCCACCAAGGTACATTGCCAGGCCCCATAATCATGCTTATTGTTCAGCCACCCATTTCACCATCTTTATAATCTAGACCTGGGTGGTTTCCCATTGCCTACATACTTTTTATTTATTTATGGTTTGCTATACACCAAATAATGAGCTAAATATTTAATGTGGTAAAATTCATTTAATTTTACCTTCTAAACACCATAAATTATATGAATCAAACTTATTTTATTGATTAAAATCTGAGGTTTGAAGATATTAGTAACTATTCTCATTAATTTGTTTAATTTATTTTGGTGCTGGGGTTTCAAAGCCAGATTAATAACTTCTCAGGTTATAATATCAGTAAGTGTAATGGAAGAAATTTGCAACTTAAATTTTACAGTAGCTGTGCACTGTCAGAGTCCAACACCAGTCTCTGCAAGCATATGTCATGCTGAAGTACTCTTCTTTCTCTGAGCTTGGTTCCTTATTCCTTAGGATCAATTCAAATTCTCTTTGTTCCATAAAAGTCATTCGCACCAAAAGTGATTTTATTTCTCCAATTTATTTCTTTGTGCATAAGTATACTGCTACAGTAGAAAATATCATCTGTGATTTTTGTCCCCCTTACAAATGTTATTTTTTGTCAGAATGGATTTTGAGCTCCATGTAGCTTTTCCAAGTCCCAACAGATATATCTACCTTTGATAAAGGTATTCAAAAATACAGGCAAACTGACAATTTTGCTTTTGTTTTTTGAGACAGGGTCTTGCTACATAGTCCACGCTGCTCTTGCACTCATGGCAATCCTCTTGCCTTAGCCTCCCAAGTACTGGCATTACAGGTGTGTACCTCTACCCCTGGCTAGGATGACAAAAGTTTACACTTCCTTATTTCTAAGATGCAAAGGCAGCACGACAGTGGATTGTGATAATTAAGAAAAACCTCAAAAGTTGATTTCAGACACAAATACCTTGGAAACAGAAATAGGAACAGAAAACACAGGTGGTACATGGTAGTTTTACAACTGCAGAATAGAGTTCAATGAACAATAATCAGAAGTTGTTTAGTTTCCTAATCTGCTTTGTCCTAGATTTGACAGGCTGTGGAGATTAACAGTGTGGACAATGTAAAGACAGAGAAATCTAATTGTTCCTAAGAGATGAAATTATCAGGTTTTGTTGTTGTTGTTTTGTTTTTGGCGGTACCAGGGATTGAACTCAGGATCCTGCGCTTGCTATCTCCCCAGCCCAAAATTATCAGTTTTGAACCTTGACAAAAAGACAAAAATCTTTTCATATAGGCTAGGACTAGCACCAACAGGTTGTTTAAAATCAAATTTAGTTAAATGCAAAAGGAAGCATTTAGTTTATTTTGATGATACTCCAGGAAAATTTGGTTACTTGTGACAATAATTTCATATTACTTATTAATTTTAGTTTCACTGCATTGCTGGGGACTAAACCCAGGGCCGTGTGCATGCCAGGCTAGTGCTCTACCACTGAGCTGCATCTTCAGGGCCACAAAATTAACTTAAATCTTAACCTTACTCACACTGGATGGAACCATCTCATGTGCCTTTCCTGACTAGTATATTAGAGAATACATTTCTAAAAAGCACAATTTTTTAATTCAATGAAGATATTTTATTAATAAATGCTAAAAATATATTCTCCCCTTTACATTGCCCCAATAACACTTCTGGGAAGAATGTGTAGTGAGGGGAGAATATACCTCTTGGAGATTTCTGGTTTTACGCCTTCCTTTCTTCTTACCGTTACTAAACATCGACACATGTTTGCGTAAGCCACAGAGAAACTGGGTTCATCAATAGCCTTCTCAAAGACCAGGTCAATGACTCCTTTCAGCCGCTCCTCTGTGTCAACGGTAAGTCCTGCCACTTGCTTCATCAGTTGGTTGAACATCTGTGGTGTCAATTTATTTAAGATACTTCGAACTTTTCTAAAAAGTTCCTAGCAAGATCACAAAAAAAAGTTATTAAAGTATGACAATATAGTAATTTCTGGAAAGATTTTTAAAATATAATTTATACGAAGTTTAACATGTCAAATTAATCAGGATTGTGAACTATTTAGAAAACTAAATCCATTGACTTTAACTATTAATCAAACATTCTACCCTTTTTGACTATTGATAAAGGATTCTAAGAACTAAGTACATTCATAGTCCACTGGCAGGAATGCACCCCCCATACCACCTCCCAAACTACACTGCCCAGACCAGGTTTCACTATTCAGTTCAGGCTGGTTTTGAACTCACTACGTAACCCAGGCTGATCTTAAATGGCAATCCTCCTCCCTCTGTCTCCCAAGTGCTAGGATTACAGGTGTGTGCCAGCACACCCACCTAAGTATGTCATTGAATACATTTCTTTTTTTGGTGCCAAGGATTGAACCTAAGGCTTTTGGTACGTGAGCATGGTGCTCTTACAATGAGATTTTTTTGAAGGCCAATGTGACAATGTGTCTCAGAAGCTATGAAAATGGTCATGTCCTCTGAGTCAGTAATTATAGTTTTAGAAACATTCATATTTAAGGATAGATAAAATGATTTTCAGTAAAATAACCTGTATTGTAATGTTTCACAGGAAATAACTTCAGTCAGAGGTGGGCTGTGTTTAAGGCTAGCCTGAACTACATAGTGAGATCCTGTCTCAAAACCAAACCATGCTGGACATGGTGGTGCACACTTGTAATCCCAGCACTCAGGAGGCTGAGACAGGAGTATTGCTGCAAATCTGAGATCAGCCTGAACTATAAAGTTGGACTTGTGTCAGTTATAAAATAAGGCCATCTATAACTCTACTTAACTTTAAAATATTAAATAGATACTTTTCCCTAAGATTAGAAACAAAGGAAAAACATCTGTTCTTACCGTTCCTATTTAATATAACAGGTGTCAACCAGCAATAAGGCAAAGAAAAAGAAAATAAAACTATATATTCACAGAGGTACAATTACTGTTAAGTCAGTTTTCTGCACACTGATCTACACATTTCACATAACTGAAATAAAATTACCAGTGGGGCTTTAAAAAGATCAAGTGTATTTTATAATTTAGAATAAAAAATTTAGAAGAGCCTGGGCAATTGGAGGCAGGAGGAAGAAGACAAGACTCACACCACTTTATTTAAACTGAAGGGTACATCAGTTACTACATAAACAGTAATAATGGCCAACAACAGATACAAAGCGCAACTGGAACAGAAAGAAGAATCTAGAAACAGATTCACAGAGAAATGATGACTTGGTTTTCAACAAACACTGCAATATTCAATGGATAAAGGCCAGTCTTTTAAACAAAGTGTGCTTGAAGAACTAGAATTCATTTTTTTAAAAGGGAACTTTAATCCATATCTTGCACCTTTTATAAAACTCCAGAGTTGGGGAGCTGAGTAGTAAAGTGCTTCACTAGCATGTGCAAGACCCCGTGTTTCAGCTTTAGCACCACAACACACACACACACACACACACACACACACACACACACCCCTCAATTTAAAGTGGCTCACAGAACTAAACATAAATTTGTTTCAAAATGTCAAGTTTTAGAAAAAATCAGGCATTCTGTTATTAGGCAAAGATTTCTTAGATATCAGAGCAAAAGCACAATCCATTAGTAAAAGCATTGATAAACTGAATATAATCAAAGTGAAAAGCTTGTATTCTATAAAAGATACTGTTAAAAGAATGAAAAGACAAAGCATAAATGGAAGGTAACTTTTGCCAAATACACATTTCACAAAGGACTCATATTGAGGATACATAAAGACTTCTAAAAACTCAACAAGAAGAAAATGTTATCACTCAATACAAAGTGAAAATGACAGAAATATTAACAAAAAAGATCTAGGAATTACAAAGAAGTACATGAAAAGATGTTCAACATCATTTTACTTAGGAAATACAAATTAAAGCTACAATGAGACACCACCACATATTAATAACTAAAATTTAGAAGAAAAAAAAACCCACACCTATAATATTCAAATGACGGAACTAAACAAAAAAGGGGATGCAGATGAATGTCCATTTTGTATCTGTGTATTCAAAATGGTTAGTATATAGTTACATTCTCTTAATGAACAGAGGGATTTGCTGTAATAGTGTTTGTAAATAGGATATCATTGTCTGCATCTTGTACAGCAAATAATCACTAGGAAGAGGGTATGCAATGTGTTAATTATTGGAACTGTCCTACCAATTTGATTTGAAACTGTCTCATTGTTATTTGTTTCTCAATAAAATTATGGAAAAAAAAACAACCAAAAAACAAAACAACAACAACAACAACAAAAAACAAACCCACAAATGGTGAGGAAAATGAGGAATAACTGAAACTCCCATGTACTACTAGTGGAAATGCAAAATGGCACAATATTTTCCACTATGGAAAACATTTAACTTTATTTGTACTTTCCAGTATGGTCCAACATATACAAAAAGACCCATCAATACTGTGGCTAAGGAAGAAAATTTATGTTGATACAAATCCTGTATGTCAAAGTTTACAGCAATTTATAGCTACCAAATCACTGCAAATGTTTATTCTATGAATAGAGGAAAAGCTAATATTACTTAGCAAAACACAAATAAAAACTGAGCTTATCACAGCTACAACAATGAGTAAATCTAAAATGCTTATGATTAAAAGGATTCAATTTACATAATTTTTTGGAAAAAACTGTACAGAGACATAACAGGTAAGTAATCACTAGAGGGGAGCATGAGGGAAAAGAGTACATTCCAAGTAATATAAAGTGATGATGTTTTGGGGTTTAGTAGAAATGTTAGAATGTTTCTTTTTTTGGAAATGTTATATATATATTGACTGTAGCGATAGTTATATGACTATATGTGGTTATTAACAATTATAGAAATGTGCAAAAAAGGAACTTTTACTATATGTCTCAGTTTTAAAAATAAATCTGTGAAGAAAGCATGACAATATCTAACTAAACAAGCCCAAGGGCCGGCCAGACAGCTCAGTGGATTAAAGTACCTGCTTAGACACATGCAGAGGCCTAGTTTCAATCCCAGGCCTGCCGAGCCGGCCGGCCCCAGGATGCTGTGAGACTGACTGAGACTGGGTGTGGTGGCACGCACCAGTAATCCCAGCGCTTGGGAGGCTGATCAGGAGGATCACTACAAGTCTGATCTGTGTAGTGAGGCCCTGTAGACCCTGTACTAAATATATATTTTTTTAAAAAAATCTAAACAAGCTTGTAAGATGCTTTGCTTCAAAAAATTACCTAAATACAAGGATATTTAGAATACGCATAAGTGTTAACAATTTTTTTCTATTGAGATAATAAATCAATTACAAAATTATATTGTTGAAATTTTATTTTTCTTTTTTAGCAATGAGCCAGTACTACTTTTTTTTTTAATTTTTTTTATTTATTTGAGAGAGAGAGAGAGAGGGAGAGAGAGAAAGAGAGAGAGAGAGAGAGAGAGAGAGAGAGGTGTGTGTGTGTGTGTGGCCAGCTCAGCCCACCAGGGGGTGGGGCTGGCTGGCATGTGGTGCTGGGGGATTGAACTGCCGTCCCTGATGCTTTGCCAAGCTTGTTCTAAGTAGGTGCTTTAGACCACTGAGCCATCTCTCCAGCCCGAGCCAGTACTACTTTAAGAAAGAAATAGAAAGTGCACTAGGGATTGGAGGGAAAAGATGTTGTACCTCTTTTAACAGCTTATGTTAGCTGAGGTTCTATAGTTCAGGTTAAAAATGTTAAATTCTCCTTTATATGAAAATCTTCAACTAACCCTACTCATTAAATAATCTATTAGGTACAAATGAAACATACGGTAGAATTAATGCCCCCCATATGATTAAAATCTGGCAGAAAATATATTTTCAAGATATTTAGAAAACCAAAAAAGTACTAGCTTTGAGCAGGGACCAAGAGAGCAGTTTACATATGCTACTAGAGGTCACAGGCACTAAGCCAATCAGGAAATTGAGTTAGAAAATTCTGGTTAATTGAAAAGAAAAAAAAGATATTTCAGGGGATGATGGGGGGCGCTGGGGAAGACTCTTGAGCGCTCTTTAGAGCTGGGGTTCGGGTGGCGCTGGAGGCCTGGCCCGCATTGCAGATCGCTGTGGATAATGGTTTCGGGGGCATGCACAGCCAGGAGAAGGCCGAGTGGCTGGGGAGTGCCGTAGAGGATTACTTCATCCACAATGCTGACTTGGAGCTAGATGAGGTAGAAGACTTCCTTGGGGAGTTGATGACCAATGAATTTGATACCGTTGTGGAGGATGGGAGTCTGCCCCATGTGAGCCAGCAGCTACAGACCATGTTCCACCACTTCCAGAGGGGTGATGGGGCTGCTTTGAAGGAGATGGCCTCCTACATCACCCAAAGAAAGTATAAAGTCACAGCCACTGCACTTAAGACAGCCAGAGAAACTGATGAGGATGAAGACGGTGCAGACAGTGTGGAAGAGATGGAGGTCACGACTACGAATGAAGCAGCCGCTATACAGCCTGAAACTTCTGGTTCAAACTCTCAGACTATTAAGGAAGAGGATATAGTAGAAGATGGCTGGACCATTGTCCGGAGAAAGAAATGAGTGGGGCCAGAAATGTTTTGGGCCCTTGTTGACTGGCATTCTAAGACTTATTTTTAGGGCTTTTTTGGAGAGCTGTAGACATCTGGACTGGTTAACCTACCCCCATCTCCTCTCTTGTTCTACTGTTTAGCTCCCTCCAGGAGAGGAAAAGCCCTGCAGTCTTGGTTGTAGGGGTGACAAGATCTGCCCACCATGCCCTCTCAGGCTGTCAGTTGCTGCCATAGGTTTCCCAGTACAGTTCCTGTTGGGTAGTCAGTGTGAAGAGGAGGGGACAAGTGAGTATGGTGTGGCTGGAGGAGCTAGACTGCTACAGAGTGGATAGGTGGATTTGTGGAAAGGACCAGTACTTGGGCACTACGGGCTGGCCGGTTCAGGACCGATGAAATAGCATTAAGGCAGAAGAGAGTATTTTTAAGATGTGAACAAAAGTAGCTGTTCCTGCTCTGCTAGACACATGCAGGAAGGAATTCCTATCTCTGCCCAGGTGAGGTCGGGAGAGTAGAGCTATTTTTGGTTTCTTCCAACCTCTTTCCTCATTCTTTCCCCCATCTTATTTAAGTCCAGGGATGAAGCTTAACATCTTAATAAATAACACCTTCTTGTTTAACCTATAAAAAAAAAAAAGATATTTCAGGAAACAGAAAACATTTTAGTTGAGACTGTTATTAAAAAATTCTTATTTGGGGAATAAGAACCATTAGAAGAACAGTATTTACTAGCTGAGGAACAAAATGACTTAAATGCTATGTTTAAAAGTTAGAAATGAAAAAGTAAAGTTAGTGCTTCAGGTAGGTGAGGCATGCAGCCAAGATGGGAATCTTGCAGCAAAAGAAAGAAGGGAGATAAAACAGGGAACCCAGGAGAGGGACTACCAACCAGGGCAGTGGTGGAGTTTAGACATATCCTGAGGTGATAAGTTTCAAGGAATGCTTCCAAGAGATGGCATTTTATGGTATAGAAAGAGCAAGAACATGGAAAGACGTTCATAGTGTTGTTTTAATATAATGGTTGCAATAAAATCAGAGTATGAAAGTTTTCTGGTAGTACAGGCAAAAATATATCTACTGTTTTGCCAAAGCAGAAAGAGAATAACGGACAATAGAAAACATGAGGTATATGTATGCGGAGAAGAATAAAAACACCAAAAAAGAAAAGAGAAATGGAGTAAGACGTTCTCTATTTAGAAGAATAATGGTCAAGGAAAAGTGTTTGTATTAGCTCCTTAAAAGGTTAAAGTCTCTTTTGGATTTGCTGTATCTATCTATGAAATAAAACTTAATTAATGATGTCTTGCGTGAATCTAATATTCTATATAATCTCTATATTCTTGTGATAAGAATCAATGAGAACTCTATAACAGAAGAATAAAGAGATGCAAATTACAAGTTCACAAAACTGGACTACTCAGTAACCATGGCACAAGAAATGGACTATTAAGTAACAGGTAACTTATTTCTTGATACTTTTTTAATATGGAAAAAGGGAAACACAAATTTTTTATTTATGGGTATAAATTATCTAATAAAATAAGGTATTATAGTGGGGCATGGTGGTGTATGCTTGCAACTGCAGTTCTCTGGGAAGCTGAAACAAGAGGATGTAGAGTGTGAACGAACCCAGGCAATTTAAGAGACCTTGTCTCAGTAAAATAATACAAGTGGCTTTACATACTAAAACAAAACATTTCAATACTGAAGATCTTCTAGAAATTTTACACTATGTAAGACATTTAGGGCCCCAGTTGTTAAACATTTTTCAGGGAGACTGGAGAAAAAGATATGAAACGCAATTAAAGGTTGAGATGTGTTGAGATGAGATGGACAGAGATTAGGGAGTTGATTTCAGTCAGTGTAGGAAGGTATCTTTAGTAACCTAAACTTATAGTGTCTGAGCAATCATTGGAAAAATGAACAACAGCAAATGGCCAATTAAAGTCTGACAGCATGGCTTTGTGATGGATTAGATTATTTTCATTTTCACTTTTTAAGAACAATGTTGTTGGTGAATTTAGTAATTTGATTAATATTTGCTGAATATCTACTATGTATGAAGTTTTGTGTTGCTGCTGAATCAAAGAGATGTCTAAGGAACAGCCATATAACCGGGATCTAGGAAATATGCCAAATGCTTTGTAGTCATTTAATTGTCACACTGGTCCTATGAGATGGTTACTATTTGTATCATCATTTTGTAGTTTAGGTTAAGAACCTGCTTAACATAGCAAGGCCCTTTTCTTCTGGGCTGAATTTTTTAGCTATTAAACTAAACTGCTCAGAATGAGAAAATTAAATAAGCAATCAGAAACCAAAGCTAGGATATCATCTATGATGCCTGGAGTCTAGTACAGTTGTGTATATTCCACTTTGGCCATCTAGAAATAAAACATCTGAAGGAGACAGTACAGATGACCCAGGTATTAAAACTGGGTTTGCTGTAGAATATGTATATAGTACAGAAAACTGAGTAAGTGATTCACATAATCTGATATACAAAATATGGATTTAAAAATAATTCATTCAATTTATTCCACAGAGTTCTGAGAATCGGACACATACAAAAAAATGCAAAAAATTCAGTTTCATTCCAAAAGACTCCCAAACAATATGGGTCTCTAAATGACAGTTTACAGAAATGAAGGCCTGCAGCCTATAAGTCCATCAACCGATAAATAGATAAAGAAAATGAGATTTTTACACACAGTGGAGTATTACTCTATCACAAAGATAAACCTGAGTCATTTATAGGAAGATGGATATACCGTAAGACCATAATATTAAGTTTATAAATCAGACATATGACCTTAAATATTGCCTAGTTTCCTGTGAGAAGTCAAATTACAAATATCGAGCCAAGTAAAAGATAGATAATAGGATGTTGGAAGACAGATCTTTCTCAGCTGTGAAGGGGATTGAGAGAAGGATGGAGGCAAGGACAGGAGGCAAGAAGGAATTAACATGTGTTTGGTACATGTATCAATTTCACATAAGAAATGTAAACATTATATACTGCACACACACACACTAATAATTTTTTTTTTTTTAAAGGAAGGAATATGAAAGCAATGTTCTATAAATCAGCACAGGAAGGAAGCTTTATATTTGAGAATATAAAAATAATTTTTTAAAATAGCAAATACTCATTTTAGTCTTAATGACAGAAGTCCATCATGTATGAGCCCACTAGACATGGTAACTGCTTACGAAAAGCACACAACAATTTCAAGAGAAAGGATGGGGTTTTTTAGCATCCACAATGACTTTTAGAATAGTGCTTTTAATATAAAAAAATACACAGTCTCACTAAAATGGTTGGTATTTCTCCATATGTTAATAAGGCAAGACAAGCTAAAACAAATTAAAATGGTACCATTATAATTCCACAACAATGTTTGGATATGCTCCTATTCTTACCTGGGTTTTAATATTTTCGGGATCCTCAGTTTGGCTATCTCGTTTTTGGCTGGGCTTCCAGGCATTCTCTGCCTTTTTTAAGTGCACATCTTCTTTTACAGAAACTGTGATGATCTTTCTGGGTTCCCTTCTCTGGCCAGGCTGAGACCTCCGTGGTCCAACATTCAACAGCTAGGAAAAGAACATTAGATCTAGTCAAGAGTACTGAACATGTTGAACTGTGTGCCCTGTGGTGGTAAAGTCAAGCCTGATGTTCACACCAAAATGCAAAGACTGAGCAGTAGACACGCAAGTCAGATGTGTTTTGTTTTGTTTTTTCTTTTGGAGGGAAGAAAAATAACTTCAAAACATCATCAATACAATGTTCTCTATCTCGACAGCTTTTGATCGTAAGGTACTAATGGGACAAAATGATGAAAAATCATGTTTAATAAAGCTGTTGTACTTATAAGAAAGACTATTCCTAACTAAACCTCTATATTCTACGACATGCGTAATTTTGCACTGTCCATTTTTAAAATCAGAAAAACTTACAGGTAGTGGTCGTCAGTAACAAATCTCTAAAAGCTGTTCTCTAAAGGGCAAAACACAAACACGACTCTGTCACTAAAATTTTCCATAGCACAGAGACATACCCTACTTTCAGCTCATACTTGATACTTCTTAATTTTAGGGCCATAAATACTAATGTTTCTTACATTATAAATAACAAAATAAATGACTCCCTGAGATTTATCTTTCTTTCTAAACTCCCTGTCTAATCTTGCTAGACTTCCACTACACTGCTGTTAATACTAATCTATGTTAGCATGTCTCAATGATCAAATTAACTACTGTTACTGTGAGATAACAAAGTAAAAATACATTTTGCGTGACAAACTACAGTAGTTGCTATTTTAACTACCTAAAAATCATTTTTCAATATTGAGCATTGGGTTGATAGCGATCCCTACAACTTTCCAGATCTGTTGCATGTTGACAACTTTATTTTTTCTGTCACATTGTTCTCTTTTTTTTGTCACATTGTTCTTTAAATGCCATACAAATACTGCCATTATATCAAGAGGAAACAAAACTCTTTACAAGACAGACCAGAATCACATCTCACCTAATAGCCCAATACTACCTTTTAGAATTCATACAAAGCTTCAGAAGGAAAAATATAGACTTAAATGTCATGCTTTCATAGAAGATGCTACTAAGAAAACAGGCTTGAAGTACCTAAGCTGATACATTTAAAGTCTTCACCCATCAATCATTCTCAAAATTAGTCATTTACATAAAACCATCTGCAATTAGAAATGGTAATGTCAAGAATGCATCAGGTCTAACAGTTTGAATTTCTGGGAAATTCATATTAGTCCTGTCAAATGTATCCAGTCAAGGATGTAATACTGGTGATGTGATCCCAGACTTTTTGGTAAAATGAAACTGGAAAAAAAAACCCGAACCAGGTTATATATACACAGAAAAATCAGACACAGTATGACTGAAAGACACTAAAGACTGGAAAACTGCTAACAAGGAAGAGTAGCTAACCCAGGCAGGATTACTATAAAAATATTTATAACTGGATCTTTGATATGGCAGCTCAGACCAAATAATTCTGTTGAGAAAATGCAGCAATCCAAGTAACATCTAGATTTATAATCTAGGTTAGTTGACTGCTCTCTTGAAGGAGTGAATTTATTTTTCAATGCTTGTATACAGCAGGTCATCAATTATAAGACGTTTAATCCACATACTTGCAAATAAAATCTATCGAAAATGAATGCATCTAAAAAAAAAAATTAATGCATCTAAGGGCCGGCCAAATAGTTTAGTGGATTAATGCACCTGTTTAGGCAGATGCAGTGACCAGCTGGGATTCGATCCCCAGGGTGCAGTGCCAGCCCTGCCCATGGGGTGCACTGAGAGGGAAACTGAGACTGGGTGTGGTGGCGTGCACTTGTAATCCCAGCTCTTGGGAGGCTGAACACAGGCAGATCACTATGAGTCCAATTTACATAGTGAGACCCTGTCCTCCCACCCCCCCCAAAAAAATCTAAATGTAATGAAAATAAATTATGTCCAAGCCATGTAGCTATTATAATACTCATATCTGGAAATACAGTCATAAAATGTCTACTTCTAAAATCTGCAAACAACAAGTATGTCTTGCAGGTATCTTCTCACCAGATCCCACTCAAGTATGTGTACTATCAAATGAGCACCACAGAGAACTGAGAAAACATAACAAATGCTTAATAGCTAAGTTCTACAAAAAAAATGTTTGAAAAGCTAACTTATAGACAGACTGTTAGTCTAAGATAAAAACAGCTGAAATTATAACCCACATAGAAATTCCTGGGAGAAATTTTAAAATTTTACTTGTATTACTGGGTACATATAAGTTAAATCCTATTCTCTAATATTTATCTAAGTATTTTGAGCTCTTAGTAGATTTGCTAAGCTTTTAAATGGTTAAAATGCTTAAGAAGTTAATTTCTGTATCATCATATTTATACTGCAGGAATGAAGTCACCGTCTGGAATATCAACACCCGGAAGGACTGTGGTACGAGGAGAAAAGAGGCAAATTAGCAGATGTGAGAAGTGGACACTTGGGAACAGAAGAGCATTTCAGTATCATCAGAGAACAGATGAGCAGGTAGGAAACAACATGATGCTGAAGGCGTCTGTGGAAGCTGCTATGGCAGTTTAGAAAGACACTGCTCTTTTGTGAAGAGAGAAGACTTCATGATTGTTCGTACAGAAGAGTAATAATGCTTTTGAGAATTCTGACAATAATGTAGACAAAGTCAAAACTGGGATTTGGAGGAAAGTCTGTGGCAGTATTTCTCTTAAGAAAGATGAGAACAAAACAAAACACCCAGACAAAAAAAGGAATGATCAACCAAGCTAACCTCTGCGATGCTTACGAGAGTTACAGCCAGCACACTGTCATTCACAGGTCTGCAATACCTCTTTCTCGCATGGATAGATAACTTTTCTCTGAGTAATGGAGCTCAAACCCAGGAGGACTCTACCACTAAGCTACATACCCAGCCCTTAAGGGAGAAAAAAAAAAAAAAATCCAAAACAGGGACTCACTAAATTAATCAGGTGGTACTGAAACTTGCAACCTTCCTGCCTCAGTGCTGGGATTAAAGCATGTTTCACCAAGTCTTGCAATAATATTTAAAATTAAACACACACCACATACAAACGTGAACTCAAAACCAAAAATCCAACAAAAATGCAAGGTATCACCACCAATTGCAAAACAGTGAAAGGAACATTTAAAATTAAACATGAGGGCTAGCCAAATAGCTCAGCGGATTAAAGTGCCTGCAAGCAGGCTCAGGGGCCGGGGTTTGATACCCAGGCCTGCGGTGCCGGCCCCGCTCTCGGGGTGCGCTGAGATTGCAATTGAGACTGGGCGTGGTGTGTACATGCCTGTAATCCCAGCTCTTGGGAGGCTGACTACACTACAAGTCCAATCTAGTAGCGAGACCCTGAACACCCCGTAGACCTTTTCCTAAAATAAAAAATTAAAAAAAAAATTATATGTAATATGTTGATTTTAACATTTCATGTCTTTTTTAGTGTGAAAACTTTAATATAAACCATGAAATTTATAGCATTTTCCAAAAGTAGCACTGTGACTTATTACTAAACAAAAAAAAACAACAAAAACTGTAGGACAATGTGATATGGGACATAAAAATAAATGAAGCCTAGTCTCCTTGCTGAAGGACAAGTAATCTGGATTGTCGGTGAGAGGAGAAAGTGTAAGTATATTATACTTAGAGACTATATATAGCAGAATTAATGTAAAGTGTGAATCTTTGGATTGACTAATTAACCACAGGTTTTTTTCAGGCAAGGCTAAATTTAAATTCTTTTCTTACTTCTTTCAATTTTCTAAATATATTAAGTAAAAAATTATACCCATTTCTGTCTTGGAATCTAATATGCATCATTTCCATCTCATTCACAAACTGAACTTGCAAATTTGTCTGTTTACCTGGGTGAGAAAACAACAAATGTTGGAGATTAAAGCCAGGGCCCCATGCATGCTTGGCAAAGACTCTACACTGAGCGACATCCTCAGCACTTTTTACTTTTAAACAGGGTCTCACTAGGTTGCCCAGGGTGGCTTCACAATGGAGCTCTTCTTGTGAAGCCAGCTGGGATTACAGGCATGTGCTACCATTCTCAGCCACCCTTGCAACTTGCAAAGGAGACAGATAATAGTTAAAGAGAGAAAGACAGAGACTATGAACTCAGGAACTTCTCTGCTCTTAGGATTTTTGTAACAGATCAGCTAATTTCAAAGTTTGTTACACTGAATATGGATATAAACTGGGTACCCAAAGCACACACCTGGAATCTCCACTACACAGCAGACTGAGGAGGCAGGAAGAACCCAAGTTTAAGGCCAGCCTGGATACCTAGTGAGACCTTGTCTTAAAAGAAAAATAAAAAGGACTGGGACTATAGCTCAGTGGTAGAGTGCCCCTGAGTTTAATCCCTAATGCCACTCCCCAACATATACAGAGAATGGTAAATTTCTATTTCTAGATCCATAGCTCTTCTTAAACATTTTTTGCAGCACTTTCTGAGGTATTTGCAAACAGACTAAAATATCATTATAACTGTCAATTAAAGTTATTAGAAATCTAGAGATGACAGAGCTTCCAACAGATACACTTTATTATCCTTACCTGCACATACCTTTAAAAAATTGGCATATATTAAATATATTTTGAAAAGTCAATGGCATAAAATTTTTCACTACGAGTCATGGCTACGTAAACCTTATTATGGAATCTAGTAGATTTTCATATAAGTGGGTAGTAATTAATTTTAAGACAAGCTGCACAGCTAGCAAAAATAATTAGAGGGGGCTGGCCAAAGAGCTCAGCAGATTAAGGTGCCTACAAGCAGGCACAGGGACCAGGGGTTCAATCCATGGGCCTGCTGTGCTGGCCCCAACCCTGGGGCATGATGAAACAGCAATTGAGACTGGGTGTGGTGGCACATGCCTGTAATCCCAGCTCTTGGGAGGCTGTAAACAGGCAGATCACTATGAGTTTGATCTAGTAGTGAGTGAGACACTGAACATTCTGTAGACCCTTCCCTGAAATACAAAAAAAAAAAAAAAAAAAAAAGAGGTATAGAACTACAAACTACGAAGAGTTAGTATTATGGCTTGTATCTAGACATTCTCCTGAAAGCCTCCTGTGCTCATAGGTGGGGCTTTTGGGAGGTGACTGTGCCTTGGGTGTGTGATACTGGATTACTCTGTTTGGTTTAGCAGAGGTCTGGGTGTGGATAATGGATTTACTGAAGACAGAAGACCTATCCTAGGTGTGGATGGCACCAATCAATAAGGTTGTAGCCTGCACAGAATAAAAACAGACAGTGGAAAAAAGACTGCTGCTTTCTGCCTGCAGTGCCATAACTTTGGACCCTGATGACTATGGACTGAAACTTCTACAAAACTGTGAGCTGAAATGAACTGTCCCAGCAATGAAAAAGTGAGATAGCTGGAGTAAGGCTTTTTCTAAATGGTATCTATTTCATTCCTTTTTACTATATATATATATATATATACATATATATATATATATATCCATCTGAATTTACATCAATACACTAAGGTACAAATTGGGCCAATTAAGTGGAAAATGTCTGTTAGCTACTGGGAAAGCTGGTAGCATAACTACTTGCTTAAGGACTACACTACCAACATTACCCTGATAGTTTACAATTTACTTAACTACTAGTTTTTGACATGATAAAGCTTCACAAACAAATAATTACAGCTAATATTTTGTAGACACTACATACATAATATCTTATTTCCAGTCATATGATTTTGAGTATATCACAATTTACCTGAGGTATATAGGCCTTTACATGAATGTTCAAACATGTTTAATTTTACTTTCAAAATTCATGTTCTATTTTCAGTATTTTAAAAGAGCTGATTCTCAACTTAAAACAATGCATTTTGCTATGACTAACAGAAAAACAATGACTAGAGTAAGCTGGTACAAAAAGTGACAATATACACTAGAACAGTAGATATGGCAATTCATGTCTTCTGTGACTGACAGATTAATAAAATTTAAAAATGTAATAATAATAATCACAAATGTTATTATTCAGAAAACAATCAAAATGGCATCAACATTACTTCAAATGCTGGCAAAACAAAATTACTAACCAAACCAAAATAAAAGGTAATACAAATATATATTTAACCCATTAGAAAGGAAAATAATGATAGAAAAAAGTACAAATGACTTCTAGAAAGCCGAGTTCTAAGACTTCTGGGTAAGACAACTGACTCTTTAGAAAAATTTTCACATTTAGAAAAAATAAAGGTTAAATTTAAAACAATGTGTGAGCAATTATATCATATACACATGGAGGTTTAAAAATGACGTTCAAAAAACAGCATGTTTCCAATTAAGATTTCTTTTTGGTTTTACAAAACCTCTGACATGTTGAAGGGATTCAAATGCCTTTTATCAGTGTTCACAGGCAAATAATTTAAATACTTACAAAAGGACATTTGTTTTCAGATGGTATAGTCTTATTTTAAAGCAGGTTTCAAAATTTGCCATTTTAGAAACAAAAAAGTGATTGGGAAGTGGAGTCACCTTATATCTGAAAATATTTTCACAAATACAAAATACTCTTAACAGGGCGACCTGCAAATAAACACAAACCCCATGTTCCTGCAGATTTGAGAGAAAATGCTCCCTGTGCCATTCTAATTCAGGAGAAAAGCTGCATGCACATCACTGGCAACTTTCCTTTCTGCAAGTCTAAAATCCAGGGAGCAGAGCCTGCCGAATCCCGCACAGTGCAGCTTCCCAGCACAACTCCATTGCTGACGCCACTTCCACCACCGAAGAGCCTGCCACTGGGTACGTAAGGGCAATTTGCAGTTTATCAACCCTACTCTTTTATGGATGTCACGTGTTTACATTTTAACTTACGACCTATGGTAAAAGAGCAAAACAACATCACAGACTACTGTTTGAAAGAAAGGATTCAGTGCATCCCTACAGGCAGGCTCTTTAGGGGTGGACGCGACATTGCCAGTGGAGTGCAACTTGGGGCTTTGCTTTGTTGCAGAGTTGGCAATCCATGCCTGCTCTGCATTCTGCAAATCTGTAGAAACAAAGACAAAATTGTTGACTGTTAGCTGAATGTCATGAGAGCTCTCTAGTAGAGCAGGCCACCTCAAAACAAAACAGGAATTTTACAAAGGTTGGCTCTACTTTTAAATCTATATGCAGATTATTCTAAATGAAGAAATATGAAAGCAAATCAGGAACAAACTAATCTAGACCAGCTCGTTTCAAATAAAGAGGATTTATATGTATTCTTTATTTACTTTAATATGGAAGGGATAGCTTTTGTCTCCTACTTCTCAATTACAGTGATCACTGAATAAAGATTATCTGACAAGATGCTCTGGCTACTATGATACTTCTGTAACTAATGCAACTGTAGGGAACGTGCACTTACAGGTACACCTCTTCCACCAGGTGTTTGCCTTCCAAAATCTGCAAAGGCTGGAGTAAAGTCTGGTCCTCGAGGCAAAATCCTAGGATCCAGTGTTCGCACTGGCAATTTGGGCTGGTTGATCTGCATGAAAAAGCAAAAGAAAACTTAAAACACACATGTTCCTGAGCATTCAGCACCAGGATATTACCAAAGACTGAAAAGTCAGTGGCAATGGTGAGTACTGGGCTCGGGACCAATACAAGTCCAACCTGATTACATGAAAGTTTCTCCTAGACCAGCCTCAGAACTTATAGAACAATGGTGTTTTGGTGCCCTGGAAAGCGACATGCAATCAGCAGATTGGCCCACTAGCTACTTAAGACAAGTAGAATGGCACAAGACAGCAAACAATTTCGAGATCTTTGGAACTAGGATCAAATTATGGTATTTTATTTTATTTTTTTATGTACTTGGTATACGGTCTTACTAAGCAGCTCAGACTAGTAGTGAACCTCCTGTTTTCAGCCTCCCAGAGCTGAGATTACAGGCGTGCATCACCACACTCAGTATTGGTGGCCAGCTCAGCACGCCCAGGGTCTGCCCCCTCCACCAATCCCTGCACTTGCCTAAGCAGGTGCTTAGTCTGCTGAATTATCTTGCTGGCCCAAATTGTGGTATTTTAAAAGAGGATATTCATAAAGACGTTGGAAAATCTGCCAACAGAAATCCTGTGATCATTTTTGTTTTAATGCTGTCAACTTATGGTAAGAAAGCACATATTGAGCAAACAATAAGTTCAAAGGAGACACTGTTTCATGAAATTTAACTTTGCTTTGTTAATCTGAGATATCTGACTTAAATGAAGTTTAGAAAGTAACAGCAAAGCTAAGATGCTGAATGAAAAATCAACTAATGAATGGCCAGAGTCAGAAATCAAAAAGTAACTAGAGAATTAGGAATATTTCCTAAGCAGACTATCTATTCAGTGGTTGTAACACTTGCACTCTGAAGTACTAAGATAGGCTCAAAGCAATACCACCAGTCAATCATTTAACAAACAAACAAACAAATAAATAAATACCTAATAAGCACCTCAAATAAGACTTAGATATAACAAGAGAAATATGAAGGCCTGTTGTAATGGGAAAGTAATGTAACACAAATAAGATTATTATGTGTTGCCGAAGCGAGCACAACAAATAAGATTAGCATAAGCACCTGCAGGATATCTTCATAAGAGGTAGAGTCATTGTTTAAAGCAACTTAAATATATATATTGATGCATGCATTCATCTGTTTGTTTGGGTTTTTTTTGCCCTGCTGGGTAGTTCAAGCTGGTTGTAAACTCCCCACATAGCCCAGGCTGGCCTCAAACTCACGGCAACCCTGCTTCAGCCTCCTGAGTAATGAGATTACAGGTAGTCACCACCTTGCCTGGCTAACTTTAACATTTCAGTGAATGAAAATAGCTTATTTTAAAAAATACTTTAGGGGCTCAGCAGTTGCCTAGCATGCTTGAGGCTCTGGGTCTGAATTTTAGCACCAAAACAAAACAGAACAAACTTTAAGCCTAGTCACTAGCATTGGCTCATCTTTGATTTACATGAACTTACTGAAATAATTTACTCCTTTCAATTTAGTAAACAAACACTGTACTAATTTTTCTGTGCACTTCACTAAGACCACATGTCAGGGAAAGATGTTTATCTAGTTTTCCTTTGCCCCCAGATAAACACCAGATCTTTATCTGAAAAGTAAATGGAAGAAACTGACGGTGATAGACATGCCTGTGAACAGGTCATACTCCATACATATGTAGCCAGAACAGATCTGTGAGACACAGCCTGTACTGACCCTGATGTGATCCTCTTCTGAGGTGGCAGCTAACTCATGAATGACAGGACAAGATAGGCAAAGTGCAGTGGAGTCTTCACATCAGGCTCTAGAAAGTTTCTCACTTGCACCTTGGACCAGAGCTCAGCTAGCAAAACTCATGGTTCTAAGACCTTACAAGTGAGTAAAGGATTAAAAAGTCACAATTTATACTGATTTAAGGTATAATATAATAAAAAAATTCACTAAGAGTGCATACCCATACAGTCATATGGAAAGAAATTATCTGACAGTCAATGGAGCTCCCATAAAATATGAGATAAATGATTTTTTAAAAATCTGTCTATAGGGCTGGTGAGATGGCTCAGTGGTCTAAAGCACCCACTTAGAACAAGCTAAGCTAAGCAAAGCACAGGGACCGTGGTTCAATCCCCCAGCACCACATGCCAGCCAGCCCCGCCCCCTGGTGGGCTGAGCTGGCCACACACACTAAATAAATAAATAAATAATTAAAAAAAATCTGTCTATATGCTTTTCAAAGTGGTGATAATTCACTGTAGACACAAAAAGCAAGTTGACAAAAGTTTCTCGAGGTAATCAACTAGTGGGTACAGCTGCCCAAAAACAAGCTGCTTGAGGAACTCCTCTTCCAGCCCCCTTGATCTGGGAAGGGTTCCTTAACCATAACTGGCCCAAAATTCTTGTCCGAAGTTTAATGAGCTTTCTGCCATGGGTGTCACCAGTTCCTCCCATCAGTTCAGGATGGTTACATCAGATGATGGCAGATAGTTCCTTCCTGATGCTAGTCAGTGGAAAATTAAGTCTACATCAATCCTTTCATTTGGTTAGAGACAAGACCCAGCAGGTGGCCTCAAAGTTATTCATAGGAACTTCCTCAGACAATATAGCAGAATACACAAACAATAACTTAATACTGTAAAAACACAGATGTAAAGATCCATGTTACAGGGATCCATCATACAGCTTTACTTGCCTAGCCTAGACGAGGACACTACTGTTAGAAATATGGGGGAATGACGGATAGATGAGCACAAAACACATATGAATAATCACTTCACATTTCAAAGTTCAACAGTGTCTTGGCTTCTTTAAGCATATATGAGGGAGGTGTTAACAGTGAAAGACTAAGGACTCCTGCAAACTTTCCTTTGGAGACAGGGTCTCACTATGTAGCCCAGGCTGGTTCCAAACTTTGATGGATCCTCCTGCCTGAGCCTCCAGAGTGCTGAGATTACAGTTATGCACCACCACTACCAAATTTCTTGATTAAAGTAGCTACATGCTTTGTCCAAGACAAAAGATGTCTTTGCAAGGAAAAGTCTAATAATCAGCAAGAGACAAGGAAGCTCTACAAAATGCTGACATGAGGAAGATGCCCTCATCCTTTCCTGAACCTGTGAAGTGGCTGCAGCACTTCACAAAAGCAAATGCCACTAACCACCAGACACCCACTAGAGTCATGATATCTGTACCTTTGTTTACTTAGCTGTTGATGGTTCCTTGCCTATTTGCCAGCTCACATCTAAGATAATAACGAAATAACCTTGATTGTCTTTGTAGTCTACCGTGACCCCAAGTACAGCAGTGAAGGAACTTTGAAAGTCTCAGCCAGAGATGTTCAGCTGATTTTCTTTCCGTTCTGTGACCAACTCTCTGGACTCTGGGCAAGGAGAGGAGCACTGGAAGGTGGGTCAGAAGTGGCTCTGGCCATCACTGCAGCAGCAGCAGTGGGCTCTGAAGCAGTGGGCTGCCAGACAGTGCTCAGGCTCCACAGAGTCCCCCCGCACCCCATGGGTGGCCACGCCCAGGAGGCCCCCTTATCTAGTATTATATGCACGGATCTGGGAGTTTCAACCACTGGAAGTTAACTCTGAGGAAAAATTTGAGCTATATATTATTTAAATTATGTTGATTCCCACTTAAGTTTGACTTATCAAATACCTACCTAGCTCGGATCTTTCTTTGATGTTACTATAATCCCACATGGAAATTTTCCAACAATAGGGAAAGAACCCAACATCAATTAAACTGTATTTCCTCCAACAAACATTTGTTAGTGTATCACTAGTAGACAGCAATAACCTGACAAATTAAATTTGTAACAATCACCACTAATACGGATCCCAACACTAACTTGTAATAAACCAAAAACCTCTTAGTATTTAGGAAATCTGATCGCTAAGCATTGAATATTTTTATTCAAATGCCATGTGATTCTAAAAACTGCACATACTTTACCTATTTCACTGATAGTTAAAATCAGCTCCCACCCAAAAGACATAGCTTTCTCAGAGGGTGCGGCTTACCTTGTCAAGAACTACATCACTGATGGGAGGCAATCCCTCGGGCTTCTGGATACAGGCTGGCATAAACTGGAAGTCTAGCAGAAAATCCCTGTCATACTGTTTCTTGCCTTCAGTGTGAGCAGGCTTCCAGGATTCTAAAGAAAGATATGGGCAGGTCACTACATAAACTAAATTCCAATATGTACTTTATTTTCCTATGAACAACCACAACAAAAGGTACACTGAGCTACAGTCAGAAAATATTGTTCTTTCTTCCACCTTTCTGACTACCTCTGGAAAGAAATCTCAAGCAAACAGAAATTATTTCATACAAAAACTGGGTATTAATCAATCTTTGGCCAGTTAACTTCTAACAGTCCTCATTAAATCATCAAACCTTCAAATATCTCAGGAATAGTAACTTGACAAAACCCTTGGCTTCAGGGAAAACAAGGATGCTTTGCTGAAATGGAAATGTTACCTTTTTATTAATTTAATTATTTTGGTTTTTTGAGACAAGGTCTCCCTATGTAGCTCAGGCTGGGCTGAAATTGACAGTGATCCTCCTGCTTCAGCCTCCCAAATTCTGGTATTACAGGCGTGTGTGACCATGTCAGGCTGGAAATGTTATTTTAGACGGAAAGAAAAAGCCACAAAAATGGAAAACTTATTGAAGATACTGAAATAAGCTTTTTCCCCTTAAGCAGCTAGATGAAGGTTTTCAACTTTGGTGGAAATTTGGTTTGCTGAGTCAGCTAAATAGGGAGTACTGTTTAGAATTTTTTTTAATATCCTGACTGTAATTTTTAGTTTTATTTTTTGCTACAGCAGTTACCTTGCTACTAACACTACTGTACCAGCTACTGCTAAAATTGGAGAACTTATATATAAAATTTGTTGGATAATAAAAAGCCATGATTTTCTTTCTTTTAATTGACAGAAACTTACAATTTGACACTGTAGATCATTTCATGATAGCAGAATGGATCCTCCTCACATTAGTAGTTCCAAATATAGTGTGGGGTTATAGACCCACTAATGGCCTGTGAGAATTTGAAAATATTTCTAACCAAATGCTTACTACTATGTTGCATTTATTGAAAAATAACAGCTTTTCAGGGGCCTCAACTTTTTTTTTCTTTCTTTTTTTATTGGTATAGTCTCCCTATGCAGCTCAGACTCATAATGAGCCTCCTGTCTCAGCTTGCAGAGCACTGGGATTACAGTCATGTGCCACCATGCCTGGTTTCGGGGCTGGGATGGCATGAGGTACTGTGGATTGAACTCAGGACCCTGTGCTTGCCAGACAGGCGTTTAGACTGCCAATCTAGCTCCACAGACGAGGGGCCTCAACTTTTAAATGCCTTTTTCCAGCAACTGGTATTAGTTATCATATAGGAAAAGCCAAAATACACTGTTTATCAAGGTGGTACTAACATACATGTAAGTCAATGGTTTTCAAACATTTCAGATTGTAAATGCATAATTAAATATGTAATGGCGTCATAACTCAGGACAAACATAAACACATATAAAACTGAAATAAGTTTCTTAAAGCAATACCTACTGTTACCATAGGATATGGACCAAAATCTTTTATTATAGCCTCATTTAATAAAAAAAATTGGTTTTTGACTGTTAAAATGTATTAAAACTACTAGTTTGAAAAGCTGGCATTCAAACCCTACCTCTTGCAACAATTACTTTAGATTTGGCAGAAGAAAAACTCTTTACTTATACCAACCTTTAATCAAAGAAATACATGTGCCCATACCAAATCTAACCACAAACCATGGCTAATCGTGTACTGGGATAGACATTTTTGTTTTCTTTTTACAGTGTTGGGGATTAAATTCATGCACGCCAGGCAAGTGTTCTGCCAGTAATATCCTAGCACAGGCCAGAGGTTTAATACATTTGATGATGTCTTTTTTTTTTTTTTTTTTTT